CACGGGGTGGGAGGTCGCTTCCGAACGGAAACACCCGGAATACGTTTCGTCTGTGCTCGCAGCGCGCAATCGATGATGACACGCGCGAGAAAGGAGTACTCGTCCAGCGGAGGAAGTACGTCAACCGATTGACTGGCATCAAGAACCGAGGTCGCGAATTTTCGCCAGTCAATGTTTTTCGTAAGATCGTACGCGATGTCGACCGAGCGTGTAGAAGATGAACCATTGGTAATAGAAATTTTGATTGGCAAATGGTCACTACCGTAGGGATCTTGAATTACTTTCCACGAGCAATCCAATGATAGTGAACTCGAACAAAGTGAGAGGTCTAATCTGCTTATTTTTGCTGGAGGTTTGGCTACTCGTGTTGCTTCCCCGGTGTTCAGAATTGTCATTTTGAAGAAGTCGCACATGTCGTATATCAAGGTTGAGCGGTTGTCGTCGTACAGTTCCCCCCAGCCTGTACCGTGAGAGTTAAAATCTCCCAAGATCAACCGTGGCTCCGGCATAGCCGTGCAGATATCCGAGAAACTTTGACGAGAAATCGCAGTTCGCGGTGGAAGATATACTGAGGCAATACTGAGGCATTTACCTCGAATATTAACCTGACAGGCAACAACTTCAATGCCTGTCACCGAAGGCAGATCGATTCTGTAGAAGGAATGGAGCTTGTTGATCCCCAGAAGCACCCCTCCATACGAATCTGCCCGATCAAGGCGAATAATGTTGAAATCGTGGAAAGCAAGATCGTTGTCTGAAGAGAGCCATGTTTCACAAAGGGCAAATGCATCAGAAAGTAAATTGTTAACTAAAAATTTAAATGTGTCAAGTTTTGGCATAAGACTTCTACAGTTCCACTGAAGAACAGAGATCATATCCCCGACCGCATTCGGAGAATTATCCATCAAAGGATATGATCGATGCAAGGAAGGACCACCTAGAAGCTAGTTGCTTCAAAAGAGTTTTCACCATTGGCAGCACTAAATTAATAATGCTCCTCGTTGAGTCAGAGATATTGAATATACTGAAGAAGCTATCCACAATACCAGAAAACGTGAACATGGGGGCATGTTCTTGCTGATTATTCAGCTGATTTTCTGGCCGAAAAACTGGGACATCTGGGGTTTTAGATGATCCTGGAAGTGACGGAAAGTTCTTGTCATAATTACAAGTTTGAAAACCCGGTGGAATGGAATGTGTGGGCGATACCTTTTCTTGGGATATGCTCCAGTATTTTTGCTGGAGAGCGAGTCAAATGGAACGTCAAGGGTTTCCATTTCCACAACTTCCTCGAGACTTTCGTGTGAGGTGGAATTAAGAGTTTCGTCGTCTGAGATGGAAAGCGACCATCCCCCGCCTTTATCATTTTCATCCATTGCGGTTAAATATCGCCGCAATGGTGTTTTTAATAAATATTTTACAAATAATTACAATAATTTCAAATAGTATCAAAAATAAAAAAAAAATAAAATGCAAAAAAAAAAAAAATAAAAAAATACAAAAAAAAAAATGATATAGTTTTACTCTACTAAAGAGTAACACAAAAGAAAGAAAAAAAAAAAAAAAAACAAGAAAAAGAAAAAAAAAATATATATAGCAAAAAATTTTTTTTTTTGATCACCCTAACTATGCTCTACTTAAAAATAGTACGAGAAAAAAAAAATCAAGAAAAAAAAATTATGGAAATATACTATTTACAAAATTTTGGATCACCCTAATTATGACCCAACCTAATCTAATATGTATTGGACCATGCGGGGAGATGCGATACTGGTGAAAACAAAGCGACACGTTATACCTATTGCACTGAGGCGGCAGATGACTGGTGCGATGCTATTGTTCGCCCCAACGGCTGTTGGGTCGATACCCTTGTAGCTGGTATGCCTCGGTCGCCTCGGTAGGCAATTTAACGTGCTTTCGTTGTTGCTTCAATGGGATGATGTGATGATGCGATGATGATGAGTTAAAGCTGGACCGTAATCAAAGCGCTCGGCGTATGACTAAAGGCTTCCTCACTCGCGCACTAGTTGTCTTAACACTATGCCAACTTACTTTGGCGAGAAAAAACCCTCGCGTGGGGAAAAACTCAAAAACTCAAATACTAGTGTCGTACAACGAGACCGATGCGACTTGACCGGCTCAGCGTGCGAGACGGAATGATGCATATAGATAAGTTAATGTACCAGAACCTGGACGGACACGAGCCTACCCAGGGGAGGACCCGGATACGACCACCCATGTGTGTCTAGAGTATCGCACGAGCTGACGAGTGCAACGGGAAGGACAGTAGGTGTATAGACTAGGGGGTTGGTCCCTAGATAAGCCTTCTTAGCGGAAGGCACAGCCTATGCACTGAACAATTACAATTACAATTTCTAGCTATTTTTAGAAGGTATTTGGAGAATGCTGATGACAGGAGAATTCCACGAAAATTCCGAGCAAAATTCTATGGCAATTCTACGTAGAATTTCATGGAGAAATATTCCAAGAAGTGAATTGTAGAGTAAACTCCAAGTTTTTTTATTGATTCCTTAAGCGTTATGGGGAAAACGTAAAAAAGAATCCAAAATGATCCTTGAGAAAGTTAGATTAGCGCTCTGAGAAAACTATGAGATGACTCATTTATTGAGGAGATTCAGACATATGTATAAGAAACTTTTCCAAGATTCTGGAACTTGAAATTTGGAAATTATTTTCTAAGCTGTTGTCCCATCTTGAAATGTGAACATTCCGTTCGATTTATAATGTAGAAATGATGCTTTGCATTGTTTTGCCTTCTTCAATCCTTTACTTCCCAGAAGGTTTTTGGTTGTTTTGAGGTGCAAAAATTAATTTCGGAAAAAGTGCTAGATGTTCCATGAAGCCAAAAATGTTCGAATCCTTAAAACAAAGTTGTTTGCATACATTGAGGTGAAGTGACAATTATCACCTCGAGTGAGGTGAGTCTTCGTGCAATCAAAAGTGACAGCGAGTCACCTTACCTCATACGCTGCGCAGAATAAACCTAAAACGCTGTACAGACTGGAGAGTTATAACATGTTATAACGGTTGTCAAATAATTGCAACACAGAAACCACCATCAAGATAGCGCTATAACATGTTATAACTCTGTAGTCTGAACGTACTATAATAGTACGTTCAGACTACAGAGTTATAACATGTTATAGTGCTATCTTGATGGTGGTTTCTGTGTTGCAATTAGTTGACAACCGTTATAACATGTTATAACCATAGAGGTAACTCTAAGACCACTGGGTCCCGAAGAAAATCATTATTATTTTTGGCTCACTCAGTACCAGAACAACGGTCCCAAGCAGTCCCAAGCTATTTCACTCACCCCTGCATGTTCTGCATGAATCCACACACCCCTGATGTTATCTGTCAAACTTTCATAGCGAATCAAAACAAACATAGTGTAGTAATAGAATTTCAACTAGAATAGGGTACGTTTATCGCTTGCTTGGGACCAATAGGCTACTAAAGTGGTGAGCCAATTTAAAATCGTTAGTTTCGTATTGATTGTTGTTATAACTCTCTAGTCTGGACAGCGTTTAACTGACTATTTAATGGTAGATTTACAAACGTGAGACGGACCGAACAGCAGTGCTGCGTGCTGTCAGCAATGATGGCCTAGCATTGAATTTCACTTCCGACACTGATATTATTGGTAAGCATAATATCAACAAAATCAATACGAAACTAACGATTTTAAATTGGCTCACCACTTTAGTAGCCTATTGGTCCCAAGCAAACGATTAACGTACCCTATTCTAGTTGAAATTCTATTACTACACTATGTTTGTTTTGATTCGCTATGAAAGTTTGACAGATAACATCAGGGGTGTGTGGATTCATGCAGAACATGCAGGGGTGAGTGAAATAGCTTGGGACTGCTTGGGACCGTTGTTCTGGTACTGAGTGAGCCAAAAATAATAATGATTTTCTTCGGGACCCAGTGGTCTTAGAGTTACCTCTATGATAATATCAGGCGGTACGACCAACCGGTGGAAACTAAAGATTTTAAATTGACTCACTACTTGACTAGCCTATTGGTCCCAAGCAAATCGATTAAAGGTCGAGGTCGTACCATAGAGTTAATTCTAAGACTAGAAGGTCCCGAAGAAACGTACTCAACTCTTCGGCTCAGCTCTGGTACTCTCTTCGGTCCCAAGCTAATCGATACACCCCTCGAAACATAGGAAAATCCACGAACCCCTCATTTTATCTGCCAAACTTTCATAGCGAATCAAAACAATCATAGTGTAGTACTAGAATTTCGACTAGAATAGGGTCCGTTAAAAGATTTGTTTGGGACCAACAAGCTAGTCAAGGAGTGAGCCAATTTAAAATCGTTGGTTTCCACCGGTTGGTACTACTTTCAAATTACTATCCACGTGTATATCACTAGGGAAAAGTTGAAAATTTTACTTTTATCTCAATAAATCAGCTTTTTGTATAATCGTTGCATTGTTTTAATATTACTGATGAGTTTTCTAAATATCGGTACTCGATTAGCTGGCGATAAGACAAATTTGCGGCAGAAATGTCAATGTCATTTGTGCACTGACACTGAGGCGAATGATATTGATATTCTAACTGTGTGAAAATTTAACATTTCATTTAATGATACTGACATCAGATGGCTAGTGAAATTCAGCATTTTGTAAGTATTGACATTGATATTTTGCAGCACTACCGAAAAGTTGTTTATCACCATGGGAAGGAGAGGGTTAAATTGTTAAATTACTGTTTTGTTGTTGTTCAAATTAGAAGAGGTTTGAGAGATTTTATCCAATCCTCTGATTATCTTCTTGAATTCCCATATAATCAATTATAAAACTTCGGTTTGCTGTCTTACCGTCCCGACAACCCTTCCTGCGGATATTATCTGTACATTTCCTACAAGCCCTTTAAAGTATCTTCATAAGGATATCTAAACTTCCCCTTACAATAAAACCAACGAAAAAATCTAAGTCGAAAAAAAGACGCCAAGCACAAACTAGAAGAACGCCAGCCTGTCGACGATCAACTTTATTTACAGAATGATATACGCGTGTGTTATGTTAATATAAATAATAGTTACTGATTTATGTTTTAGACGTAAGTAAGACTCATTTACAGTTACAATTACTTCGTTCGAAGAGCGTGTACGTGTATGCAATGTTTTGGACTAACAGTTGCGCATTGATTGTGGCAGTATGCTTCAAGTAGGATTAAATTTGATAGCCCTGCCCGGCATGGAAGATGATCTGTTAAATGGTTGCCTGCAGCGAACTGAATCAATCCGAAGCCAGCCAACATTCTACAGCCGTATTCTATACAGGGCTGGTATTAAAATGTTACTCTGCTTGAAACGTACCACCATTAGAGTAAGTTTTTCTTCTAAATAATGTACATCGGAGCCAGTTGAAACAAGGGGTTCATAAAGTTGAATTTGAAACCTCTCGCTCCCGCCTTTCGAAAATATTGAAAATGTTATTAGGTAGTTCTTGTCGAAAAAAGCACATTTCAGTGGACCGGATCTATCCAACATAATTAATAAAAACTCCTATGTTGAGTCATTCTTGCAAGTGACTTAAGCCAAAATGCTCTCATTTTTCTCTCTGATAAGTGAAGTTAAAACAAAGTTCTTTTGTGGATTGCTGTTCGACTTGCCCCGATGTACCTGAAGCGTAATTTTTAATTAATTACTTTTAATTTACCATCCCTTGTAGGTTGACACATATTTACCTATACATGCTGCTATGAAAGTTTCGGTTACATAAATTACAAACCTTATACAGTATCACCTGCGCGCTAAAAGTGTCCAAACGACCACTTAGTTTTTAACCTAAACCCTACATCGCCTTGCAAGGGTCTGCTTGCTAGGTCCCTTCTGTTTTATGAAATTGCTTCACCGGAACCGGCAAAGTTCCACTATTCGGCGGCGACTTACTGACTACCTACCACGGACAAGTGAACAATGTCGCCACCGGACAGTCTGGATCGAACACACACCATATTTTACACCGTACAAAAATGCCTGCCTAGCCTATGTACTGCGATATTATTATTCATCTGAACCACAGTTTGAGCCGCAAAGCGTCCACCCCGTTAAGATAGTAGTGAAACAGCCTTTTGTCCCGTACGAAGCCCAAGTTTTCGTACAGCCGCAGGGCTGGTCGATTGGTGATTTCCGTCTCCAGGACCACTTCGTCGGCGTTGTCCTCCAGCATGGCCTGTTCGGAAAAGAAGCAAAAACCAACAGTCACATCTTCGCTCTGAACATCGACGGATAATCGAAAACGACTCACCTGGATCGCCTTCTGCACCAGCGTCGTTCCAATTTTGAGCTTCCGGTAGTCCTTGTCGACGGCCAGCATCGCAATATAGCCTCGGCGGATGTTCTGCCGGTGAATATCCAGCTTACATACGATCGCTCCTACGCAGCGCTCCTCGTGCCACGCCAGAAAGCATAACCGGGGCCAGTTGTGAATGAAGTATCGATACGTGTAGATTGAGTACGGTTCTGATAGATCTTTCTGAATTAGTGACATTATACAGGGCATCTGCAGTTCCGATTCGTACACTTGGTACGTAATCGTGGGCTTTGGTGGTTCCTCTGGTGGCGCTATTACTGGCGGTGTTTCGTTAGTCGGAATCACAGTGATTACCGGTTCTGGTGCGTCCTTCTTGAGAACTTCGCTACTTTGTGCAGGTGTTTGGTCACTCCCACCAACAACGACCGGTTGGTTCTTATTTTTCTGCCTATTTTTATGTTTCTTTTTCCCCGTAACTCCGACGGTTTCCGTTTTGGCCGCTTGGTGATCTTCCGAACCTGATAAGGTCCCATTAGTCAATCCATTTTTGCCCAACTTTAAGCCCTGCTCTAGCTTCTGACTAACTTTCTCAACTGATTTGTCCTGCAAATCTTCCGCAAGTCCGTTTAGCTTCCCCGTCGAGCCTCTCGTCTCCTCCTCCTCCTGCTGTTCCTGACTCGCATTTGCGATGGTATTTTTAGACTTATTTTTCCTTTTCGCTTTCTTCTTTCCACTCTTCCCAGCGGCTGAAGTTGCATTCGCTTCGAGTCCATTCGCCTGTGGAGCTAGATTTTCCTCCGTCTTCACTTCCATCGGGTCAAAGTCCCACGACCTACACTAGTGCAAGCTTGTTTTTTTTCGCTCCTTCCCGGATCGAAAATGTAATTCCGAATTTTCCTTCCGATTTTTTCCCTTTCACCACTTTGGAACAGCAAATTGCAATTTTGGAGACAAACAAAGTCCGAAAATTTCACCAACACATTATGTAATTTTAAACGTTGCACACGCGATTGAAACTAAAACAAGACACGGAAATATCGTTCAGATAAAAACTTACGAAAATGTCCAATAAGTCCCTTCGATAACCCGTTTTTCACGATTCTTTGGATGATTTTTGTGTGAATTTTTCTCTCTGCCACTCTTCTCGCTCTCTCCCTGTTTCGTTGTTTGACAGTTTGTTGTGCATCAAAATCGAACATGTGTTTGACATTAGCGTTTTTTTGACACCAGGGCTGCATCCGAGGCTGCATCTCAGGGAAAGAATGCCGAGCAAATGGAGCAAATTGTCGAATCGACGTAAGTACTTTTGTATATCATAGGAAAAAAAATAGATCTGATCCTCGATCTGATCGGTGCAGGAAACTTCGAAAGAAACCTCCCGAATAAAAATGCATTACAAATGAGATAGAACATATTTTTTGCTATTGTTATAACCCGCATAAACGCGAACCATGCCATGACCTTAGCGAAAATGGTTAAAAAAATGTTTATAATCCCTGCTAAACTTTAACTGAAATGGTTATGCTAGGGACAGCAAAAAAAAATATTATATCGATCAACGTAATTCAAGCTGATGCATTAAATAATGATGTAATAGAAAAACGCAGATACAATATTACATCAATAGATGTAATTTTGTTCGCAAAATCGATGTACATCGTACAATGTGATATTACACAACCGATGGATTGACCTGGTTGCAGCAGTTTCGATGTAATATTCAACAAATTTTTTTGCTGTGTACAGAGTTATAACATGTATCTATATAGAGCTATCTTGATGGTGGTTTCTGTGTTGCAATTTTTTGACAACCGTTATAACATGTTATAACGACTGTGCAGACTGGAGAGTTATGCTACGTTCAGACTACAGAGTTATAACATGTTATAGCGCTATCTTGATGGTGGTTTCTGTGTTGCAATTAGTTGACAACCGTTATAACATGTTATAACTCTCCAGTCTGGACAGCGTTTTAATAGTACGTTCAGACTACAGAGTTATAACATGTTATAGTGCTATCTTGATGGTGGTTTCTGTGTTGCAATTATTTGACAACCGTTATAACATGTTATAACTGCTCAGTCTGGACAGCGTTTAATACACGAAACGAAAATCAATTATTTTATTTTATTTTATTCATGTGTTTCACTAATACATTTTTGCCAAAACATCAGCCTTATACATTCCATAAGACAAACCAGATAGGTCCTATAAGAATGCATAAAAAGTATGTGTGACCGCTAATACTTTTTTCAAGGCGTCTGGTTATACACCTGGTTACCTCTATGGTTATACCAAGTTATACCCCGTTCACATTACAGCGTATATCACGTGATATACGCTGTCTTGCAATGAGCACTCATACATCTAGTTTTCACTGGAAATCCTATGTATGAGCAGGGTGCCTTCCATTCATTTTGACTAAAAAAATGTTTTATGAAATTATAGAATAATAGGATATCATGATGATATTTTGTATGTGTAAGTAATAAGAAAAAATTGTAAAGTTTGTGTTTCACACATCAAACCTGCAAATTTAGCTTTTACAGAGTCACAATGAGCGTTTTTCTGATCGCCTCTTCGCGAAGAGTGAAGAGCGAAGAGTGGGTGAGATAAATTACAAAATCGCTTATTGCGACTCTCATGTAGCAAAATTGGCAGGTATTATGTGTCAAACACAAACTTAACAATCTTTTCTGGTTGTTTACATAATCAAAATATTTTCATTATGTCTTATTATTCCATCATTTCTTAAAACATTTTTTTAGTCAAAATGAATGGAAGGCACCCTGTGTATGAGTGCTCATTGCAAGACAGCCTATATTACGTGATATATAGGCTGTAATGTGAACGGGGTATTAAATAGAACACCGAGTTTTCAGTACTAATTATGTTTTACTAAAACATTCATCAAACGAAATTCCAAAATTACTGGTCACATTAGTAAATTGTAAAGAGCCTGAATTTATAAAGAGACGACATGTTAAAATTGGAACAATGGATTATCTGTCAAAGTCATATAGGAAAAGTTATTCCAATCGAGCAGAAGACCTGTCAAAGGGATAAGATGTCGCCTCATTACCAAATTCAGTCTCTTTAGTAAATTGGACTCCTTTACGTCATTCTCCTTCGTTCCACCTCGCGCACTTGACTTCAGAAATTTGTGTGTTAAAACAGCAACATGTTTGCGAAAATAAGTTAAACGACTGGAAGTCAACGCAGGAGTGCAGAATCATTCACAAAATCCGGCAGTTACTGCCCGAAAAAAAAAATTACAGTGAAATTTTCAGTGGAAACAATGCTCTAACATTAATATTTATTGTCGACAATAAAAATTATTGTTTTATTGTTGTACCCTTCCGAAAACGGCAAACCTGCTACCTAGCTGTACAATGAATGTACATAATAAAATGTTGTTACAATGATTTTTATTGTATTTTTCATTTATTTTATTGTTAACATGATTCGATCACGAACAATAATGAACAATTCTATTACAATAAAAAATGTTGTTACATTAAATATTGGTGTGTTTTCATTGTGGGTTACTTCACGAACAATAAAAATAAATCTGATTGAAGCATGCAGACTATGAGAGGGTCAGCAACACTGCCAATGTAATCAAGATAGGCGCTGCTCGTATGGCTCTTGCTTTGACAGTTCGTTTGGCTCTATTCGTTGCCAAGTCAATTTAACGCCTACGACCAGATCGGTTTGAGTTGAACTCAACTCTCCTGCCTCATCTAAATCCCGCTTAATGCAGACCTTTTCCGTGCAGTCAATAATCATACAATAATAATAAAAAAATCCACCACTTGAAGATGTCAGGAAATAACTCTCAGGTGGAAGCATATTTTCATGGGCGATTCTCTCCAGTTGAATGCATTAACTTATCAACGACGTTCAACCACCAAGGAGACGTGACCTAGAGAGATCGAGTGCAGGGGAATTGGTTTCCATTTCTCACAAGTTCCGGATCGAATCTCAATCCATAACCAGTAAAAAAAGGACTCACCCGTAACAGACATTACCACCCCCTTCCCTCCCCGGGCCGATGTTTTATTTTTTCGATTTATTTTTAAAGTCGATAAAGTAGATCTGTCAAGCCAACACATACACTCTTAAGTACACTGTTTTTTTTTAATCAATAAATTTGCCAACCAACAGTAAAATAACAATAATATATAATGTTATTGAAAAAAAAAATTATATGGGGAAATCACGAAAATTTCATTGTTAAGATACTTAACAACCCCCCTTTTTTATTGTAAATTTTCCATTTACCATGAAATTTACTGTTTTGTACAACATAAATCAAGGTAAATTTATTGCAGACGTAACAATATAAATCATTGTTAAGACAATAATTTTCGTCTTATTGTTACATTGTTTTTTATTGTATTTTTGTTGTTATTTTTTTCGGGTGCACTCCTACATCGACTTCCAGATGTTCCATTGAATTTGCGGCCAAGAATTTCATGTCAAATAATTGCAACACAGAAACCACCATCATTTAGCCCTATAACTATAAGTGGAAAGAGGGATTGTGATACGTAAGAGAATAGAGTAAACACGTATGGTACGGTCGAGTATACAGTAGAGACTGATGTATTTGTCAAAATATACACGGTAATGTAAACTACTCACTTTTACTCTTGAGACTTACCCAGTGAATGGTTTGCTCTTCACACCCCTCCTCAAACAAATCACCCTTCGACTCCCATGAAGACTCGATGTTTGGTAAATGGCATCGGCGAGAGACCCTTGGTGAGAATGTCTGCCGGTTGTTCAGCTGTTGGGATGTAGCACAAATTTACCTTACCCTCTTGGACACACTCCTTGATGAAATAAAGCTTAACTTCCGTATGCTTCAACTTCTTGGATGAGCCATCCGACTCGGCAATGGCAATCGTAGACTGATTGTCTTCAAAGATGTCCGCAGGTTCACGTTCACGAATGTCTAATTCCACGAACAGCTTACTGATCCACAAGACTTCGCAGAGGCATTCAGTTAGCGCACAGCACTCGGCCTCAGTCGAGGAAAGCGCCACCGTTCGCTGCTTCCTGGTGCTCCAAGCTGTTGTAGCCCCGTAAATCTGAATCAGATATCCGGAAACAGAATGCCGATCGTTTATGTCTGTTGCCCAATTTGCATCGGCAAATCCCACAATCTGTCGGCCAGCAGGGTCCTTTCTGGTGTACAGCAACCCGTATTGCGGCGTTCCCCGCAAATAGCGAAGAATTCTCTTCGCATGCTTCCAATGTTCTTCTCCGGGATTGGACTGAAACTGGCTAAAGTATGACACGGCTGCACTTATGTCTGGTCGCGACGTCACCATCAAATATGTTAGGCATCCGATCAGTTCCCGAAACGGTTTGCCCAAATCCTGTTTCACTTCCACTTTCTTCAGCTGCAGGCCCGACTCTATCGGTGTTGATGAAGGCCTGCACGCCTCCATTCCAAAACGCCTCAGAACAGCATCAACGTACTGTGGCTGGCTCAGCTTCATTACACCCTTCGCTCGATCTCTATCAATTCGCAGGCCCAGAAACATTTGGGCTTCACCCAGATCCTGCATTTTGAATTCCATCCTTAGCAATCGCTTCACGGCCCTGACTTCGTCCAAGTTCTTCGCGATGATCAGGACATCGTCCACATAGAGCAGCAGATATACTGGACCAGATTTGCCTACTCTGACATACAGACAACTATCCTCTTCGCATCGACGGAAACCGCATCGTGTAATGAATTCATGGAAGCGATCGTTCCACGCCTTGGACGCCTGTCGCAACCCGTAAATGGATTTGTTGAGTCTGCATACTTTATCCCCCTCCTCGAATCCTTTGGGTTGACGCATGTAGATTTCCTCGGTCAGGACTCCATTGAGGAAGGCGGATGTCACGTCCATTTGGTGAACAACAAGATCGAATTGATTGGCAAGAGCGAGCATCGATCTAACAGTCGACATTTTAACAACTGGCGCATACGTCTCCGAAAAATCAAACCCATAGCGCTGCGTAAAACCTTTAGCAACCAAACGCGCTTTCCGCTTTTGAACGGATCCATCCGGACCGTGTTTGAGCCGAAAAACCCACTTGCAGTCAATGGGCTTCCGCCCAGGTGGCAAGGATACCAGCTGCCAGGTGTTGTTTTCA